GTACGGGATTTTGTACGGCATTTCGTACAGGATTTCGGATGGGAATTCGGACGGGATTTCGGACGGGATTTCGGACGAGATTTCGGATGGGATTTCGGACGGGATTTCGATTTCGTACGGGATTTCGTACGGGATTTCGTACGGGATTTCGATTTTGTACGGGATTTCGGACGGGATTTCGGACGGGATTTCGTACGGGATTTCGGACGGGATTTCGGACGGGATTTCAGACGGGATTTCGGACGGGATTTCGGACGGGATTTTGGACGAGATTTCAGACGCGATTTCGGACTGGATCTCGGACGGGATTTCGGACGGGATTTCGATTTCGTACAGGATTTCGTACGGGATTTCGATTTCGTACGGGATTTCGTACGGGATTTCGTACAGGATTTCGATTTTGTACGGGATTTCGGACTGGATTTCGTACAGGATTTCGTACGGGATTTCGTACAGGATTTCGATTTCGTACGGGATTTGTACGGGATTTCGTACAGGATTTCGATTTTGTACGGGATTTCGGACTGAATTTCGTACAGGATTTCGTACGGGATTTCGTACGGGATTTCGTACGGGATTTCGGACGGGATTTCGGACGGGATTTCGGACAGGATTACGGACGGGATTTCGATTTCGTACGGGATTTCGTACGGGATTTGTTACGGGATTTCGATTTTGTACGGGATTTCGGACTGGATTTCGTACAGGATTTCGTGCGGGATTTCGTAAGGGATTTCGTACGGGATTTCGGACGGGATTTCAGACGGGATTTCGGACGGGATTTCGGACGGGATTTTGGACGAGATTTCAGACGCGATTTCGGACTGGATCTCGGACGGGATTTCGATTTCGTACAGGATTTCGTACGGGATTTCGATTTCGTACGGGATTTCGTACGGGATTTCGTACAGGATTTCGATTTTGTACGGGATTTCGGACTGGATTTCGTACAGGATTTCGTACGGGATTTCGTACAGGATTTCGATTTCGTACGGGATTTCGTACGGGATTTCGTACAGGATTTCGATTTTGTACGGGATTTCGGACTGAATTTCGTACAGGATTTCGTACGGGATTTCGTACGGGATTTCGGACGGGATTTCGGACAGGATTACGGACAGGATTTCGATTTCGTACGGGATTTCGTACGGGATTTCGTACGGGATTTCATACGGGATTTCGATTTTGTACGGGATTTCGGACGGGATTTCGTACGGGATTTCGGACGGGATTTCGGACGGGATTTCGGACGGGATTTCGTACGGGATTTCAGACGGGATTTCGGACGGGATTTCAGACGGGATTTCGGACGGGATTTTGGACGAGATTTCAGACGCGATTTCGGACTGGATCTCGGACGGGATTTCGGACGGGATTTCGATTTCGTACAGGATTTCGTACGGGATTTCGATTTCGTACGGGATTTCGTACGGGATTTCGTACAGGATTTCGATTTTGTACGGGATTTCAGACTGGATTTCGTACAGGATTTCGTACGGGATTTCGTACGGGATTTTGTACGGCATTTCGGACTGGATTTCGGACGGGATTTCGGACAGGATTTCGGATGGGATTTCGATTTCGTACGGGATTTTGTACGGGATTTCTTACGGGATTTAGATTTTGTATGGGATTTCGGACTGGATTTCGTACAGGATTTCGTGCGGGATGTCATAAGGGATTTCGTACGGGTTTTCGGACCGGTTTTCGGACGGGATTATATAATGTAGTGTAGTGTATAATGTATAGTAGTGTGTATAGTTGTGTAGTGTGTAATGTAGTGTAGTGTGTATAGTAGTGTAGTGTGTAGCATATAGTAGTGTAGTGTATAATGTAGTGTAGTGTGTATAGTAGTGTAGTGTGTAGCATATAGTAGTGTAGTGTATAATGTAGTGTAGTGTGTATAGTAGTGTAGTGTGTAGCATATAGTAGTGAAGTGTATAATGTAGTGTAGTAGTATAGTATATAATGTAGTATGGTAGTGTAGTATATAATGTAGTGTAGTAGTGTATAATGTAGTGTAGTGTATAATAGTGTAGTATATAATGTAGTGTAGTAGTATAGAGTAGTGTAGTATATAATGTAGTGTAGTGTGTATAATGTATAGTAGTGTAGTGTATAGTAGTGTAGTAGTTTGTAGTATATGGTAGTGTAGTGTGTATAGTAGTGTAGTGTGTAGCGTATAGTAGTGTAGTGTATAATGTAGTGTAGTGTGTATAGTAGTGTAGTGTGTAGCATATAGTAGTGTAGTGTATAATGTAGTGTAGTGTGTATAGTAGTGTAGTGTGTAGCGTATAGTAGTGTAGTGTATAATGTAGTGTAGTAGTGTATAATGTAGTGTAGCGTATAATAGTGTAGTGTATAATGTAGTGTAGTAGTGTATAATGTAGTGTAGTAGTATAGAGTAGTGTAGTGTATAATGTAGTATAGTCGTGTATAATGTAGTATAGTAGTGTAGTGTATAGTAGTGTAGTAGTTTGTAGTATATGGTAGTGTAGTGTATAGTTTAGTGTAGTAGTGTATAATGTATAGTAGTGGAGTGTGTATAGTAGTGTATTATATAATGTAGTGGAGTATATAATGTAGTGTATTTTAGTGTAGTGTATAATGTAGTGTAGTAGTATATAATGTAGTATAGTAGTGTATAATGTATAGTTATGTATAATGTAGTGTAGTAGTGTATAATGTAGTGTAGTGTATAATGTAGTGTAGTAGTATATAGTGTAGTGTAGTAGTGTATAGTGTAGTGTAGTAGTGTATAATGTAGTGTAGTGTATAATGTAGTGTAGTAGTATATAATGTAGTATAGTAGTGTATAATGTATTGTAGTGTATAGTAGTGTAGTAGTATATAATGTAGTGTAGTGTATAATGTATTGTAGTAGTGTATAATGTAGTATAGTAGTACCGGACACGCCCTACAACACGTTTGGAATCGACAGGAGTCAAGTTGGGACTTGCAAACGAATCGACTTACGAACAGACCCATCTGGAACCTAACCGGTTCGCAAGATGAGGAGTCACTGTGTTTATTGACACTGCAGGAGGAATCCGATGGGCAAGAGATGTAAAGACACAATCAAAGAACACACAAATTACACACTCAGCCCCATACCACCACCAAATTTCCATATACATGAAGACAAAGATCCCCCGTGTAGCCTCTACAGATTGTTGGGGCAAGTGCTGTTAGTAGCAGCACCAATGAAGGTAGACACAGATAAAGATCCCCCGTGTAGCCTCCACAGACTGCCGGGGCAAGTGCTGTTAGTAGCGAGTAGCAGCAGCACCTATGAAGGTAGACACAGACAAAGATCCCCCGTGTAGCCTCTACAGACTGCTGGGGCAAGTGCTGTTAGTAGCGAGTAGCAGCAGCACATGTGAAGGAAGACACATACAAAGATCCCCCGTGTAGCCTCTTAACAGACTGCAGGGGCAAGTGCTGTTAGCGAGCAGCACCTATGAAGGCTACCGGCACTGTGGCACACGAGGGGGTGGGTGGCTACCAGCACCACGCCCGGCCGCCTTTGTCTCCCCCAGTGGTGATGTTTACTACACACACCGCTACACCAGGTAACTCATTTGAGGTTGAGTCGATCTAGGGGAGGCCCAGGACCGGTTCAGATAATCGTCACTGGGTGTTGTTGGCTGTGGTGGTCGTGAGTGGGAATATTTATAAATATTGAACCGGTTCCCATAGAAGTCTATAGGGCAATGTTGAGAGATGGGGAACCGGTTCCTATTGCAAGTCTATGGGACCATGTTAAGAGATAGGGAACCGGTTCCCATAGAAGTCTATGGGGCAATGTTGAGAGATGGGGAACCGGTTCCTATTGCAAATCTATGGGACCATGTTAAGAGATAGGGAACCGGTTCCCATAGAAGTCTATGGGGCAATGTTAAGAGATAGGGAACCGGTTCCCATAGAAGTCAATGGGGCAATGTTAAGAGATAGGGAACCGGTTCCCATAGAAGTCTATGGGGCAATGTTAAGAGATAGGGAACCGGTTCTCATAGAAAGTCTATGGGGCAATGTTAAGAGATAGGGAACCGGTTCCCATAGAAAGTCTATGGGGCCATGTTAAGAGATAGGGAACCGGTTCCCATAAAAGTCAATGGGGCCATGTTAAGAGATAGAGAACCGGTTCCTATTGCAAGTCTATGGGGCAATGTTAAGAGATAGGGAACCGGTTCCCATAGAAAGTCTATGGGGCCATGTTAAGAGATAGGGAACCGGTTCCCATAAAAGTCAATGGGGCCATGTTAAGAGATAGAGAACCGGTTCCTATTGCAAGTCTATGGGGCAATGTTAAGAGATAGGGAACCGGTTCCTATAGAAAGTCAATGGGGCCATGTTAAGAGATAGGGAACCGGTTCCTATTGCAAGTCTATGGGGCAATGTTAAGAGATAGGGAACCGGTTCCTATAGAAAGTCAATGGGGCCATGTTAAGAGATAGGGAACCGGTTCCCATAGAAGTCAATGGGGCCATGTTAAGAGATAGGGAACCGGTTCCTATTGCAAGTCTATGGGGCAACGTTGAGAAATCGAGAACCGAGACCCTCCGTGACCCCGCGTCCCCTCGTGACCCCGCGGTGTCACGTGGCCGGTGGCGCCAGGCAAGGGGCGGGGGGCGGCGATGAAGCCACGCCCCCTTCACACTCCCCCCTCCTGCTATTGGTCGGCACAACCGGACATGACGATCGAACAACAGGAAGTCGCCTAGGCGGCCATCTTATGTAGGGGTGGCTGCTACGCCACCTTCGTTAACGCAGGGCGTGACGTCACCGTGCCTTCCCTTACCAACATGGCGGACCCCCTCTACACCCCCCTCGGCCCCTCCCCCCGACCCCCGCGATGACGCCCCCCCCCCCGCGGGCCCAAATTGCAGCGCGCGATGCAACTCGGCAGCCGATTGGTCGAAGCGCGCCCCACGTGGCGGCGCTCGACCAATGGGAGGAGGTGTTAGAGAGTTGGGGGGAGGGGGGGTGCATCTGTGTTGGGGGTGGCGGCGGCGCGCGCCAAGTGGACTGCCGTCAAAATTGTCGTGAGGTAAAAACTTACAGAAAACACTAAAAAAAACACTAAAAAAACAAGATAAAAATGTATAGAAACTTATAAAGAGTCAACGGCAAACTTTGCCCTCCAAAAAAAACTTAGATTTTTCTCGCGTGGTTTACCTCAGAGATTTTTATTTTACCTCAGAATTTTTTAACCTCAGAATTTTAAAACCTCCTATTCGTCAAGGGTTCGGATTGCGCATCGCTCATCCAGCCAGCCGACAAATTGCAGTTTTGACGACGTTGTTAGTAGTGGTGGTGGTGGTGATGATTGTGGTTGTGGTGGTTGTGCAAGCGATTGCGTTGCTGCCGTAGCGCAGAGGTGGTGGACGCTTCGTGCTTTTGCGATGATTGCCTCACCACGAACGCGACGATATTTGTGGTAATTTCTTAATCGATCGTGGTGTTGTGGTGATTATGGTGGAGTTAGTGGTGGTTGTTGTGGTTGTGGTGACGTGGGCAAGATGGGTGTGATGGTGGTGGTGGTGATTTCAAGAAAGTGAAAGTGATCGCCTCGGTTATCAAGAATGTGAAGGTTTCTTCAGTGATTGAGTGATTAGCCGAGTGGTTGAGTTAGTGGTTGAGTTGTTGAGTTAGTTAGTGGTTGAGTTGTTGAGTTAGTTAGTGGTTGAGTGAGTGAGTTAGTGGTTGAGTTGTTGAGTGAGTTAGTTAGTTGTTGAGTTGTTGAGTGAGTTATTGGTTGAGTGAGTTAGTGGTTGAGTGAGTTAGTGGTTGAGTGAGTTAGTGGTTGAGTGAGTTGTTGAGTGAGTTAGTTGGTGGTTGAGTGAGTTAGTTGGTGGTTGGTTGAGTTAGTGGTTGAGTGAGTTAGTGGTTGAGTGAGTTGTTGAGTGAGTTAGTTGGTGGTTGAGTGAGTTAGTTGTTGAGTGAGTGAGTTGAGTGAGTTAGTGGTTGAGTGAGTGAGTTGTTGAGTGAGTTAGTTGGTGGTTGAGTGAGTGAGTGGTTGAGTGAGTTAGTGTGAGTGAGTGAGTTGTTGAGTGAGTTAGTGTGAGTGAGTGAGTTGTTGAGTGAGTTTGTGTGAGTGTGAGTGAGTAGTTGAGTGAGTTAGTTGTTGAGTGAGTGAGTTAGTGGTTGAGTGAGTGAGTTGTTGAGTGAGTTAGTTGGTGGTTGAGTGAGTGAGTGGTTGAGTGAGTTAGTGGTTGAGTGAGTGAGTTAGTGGTTGAGTGAGTCAGTGGTTGAGTGAGTGAGTTAGTGGTTGAGTGAGGAAGTGAGTTGTTGAGTGAGTTAGTGGTTGAGTAAGTGGTTGAGTGAGTTAGTGGTTGAGTGAGGGAGTGAGTTGTTGAGTGAGTTAGTGGTTGAGTGAGTTAGTTGGTGGTTGAGTGAGCGAGTCAGTGGTTGAGTTAGTGAGTTGTTGAGTGAGTGAGTTAGTGGTTGAGTGAGTGAGTTAGTGGTTGAGTGAGTTAGTGGTTGAGTGAGTGAGTGGTTGAGTGAGTTAGTGGTTGAGTGAGTTAGTGGTTGAGTGAGTCAGTGGTTGAGTGAGTGAGTTAGTGGTTGAGTGAGTGAGTCAGTGGTTGAGTGAGTTAGTGGTTGAGTGAGTGAGTCAGTGGTTGAGTGAGTCAGTGGTTGAGTGAGTGAGTGAGTGGTTGAGTGAGTCAGTGGTTGAGTGAGTTAGTGGTTGAGTGAGTGAGTTAGTGGTTGAGTGAGTTAGTTAGTGGTTGAGTGAGTGAGTTAGTGGTTGAGTGAGTGAGTTGTTGAGTGAGTGAGTTGTTGAGTGAGTGAGTGGTTGAGTGAGTTGGTGGTTGAATGAGTGAGTTAGTGGTTGAGTGAGTGAGTCAGTGGTTGAGTGAGTGAGTTAGTGGTTGAGTGAGTTTTTGAGTGAGTTAGTGGTTGAGTGAGTGAGTCAGTGGTTGAGTGAGTTAGTCAGTGGTTGAGTGAGTGAGTTAGTGGTTGAGTGAGTTAGTGGTTGAGTGAGTTAGTGGTTGAGTGAGTTAGTGGTTGAGTGAGTTAGTGGTTGAGTGAGTTAGTGGTTGAGTGAGTGGTGGTGGTTGTGGTGACGTGGGCAAGATGGGTGTGATGGTGGTGGTGATTTCAAGAAAGTGAAAGTGATCGCCTCGGTTATCAAGAATGTGAAGGTTTATTCAGTGATTGAGTGATTAGCCGAGTGGTTGAGTGAGTTAGTGAGTTGTTGAGTGAGTGAGTTAGTGAGTTGTTGAGTGAGTTAGTGGTTGAGTGAGTTAGTGAGTGAGTTGTTGAGTGAGTGAGTGAGTGGTTGAGTTAGTTAGTGGTTGAGTGAGGGAGTGAGTTAGTGGTTGAGTGAGGGAGTGAGCTGTTGAGTGAGTTAGTTGGTGGTTGAGTGAGTTAGTGGTTGAGTGAGTTAGTGGTTGAGTGAGTTAGTGGTTGAGTGAGTTAGTGGTTGAGTGAGTTGTTGAGTGAGTTAGTTGGTGGTTGAGTGAGTTAGTTGGTGGTTGGTTGAGTTAGTGGTTGAGTGAGTTAGTGGTTGAGTGAGTTGTTGAGTGAGTTAGTTGGTGGTTGAGTGAGTTAGTTGTTGAGTGAGTGAGTTGAGTGAGTTAGTGGTTGAGTGAGTGAGTTGTTGAGTGAGTTAGTTGGTGGTTGAGTGAGTGAGTGGTTGAGTGAGTTTCTGTGAGTGTGAGTGAGTGAGTTGTTGAGTGAGTTAGTGTGAGTGAGTGAGTTGTTGAGTGAGTTAGTGTGAGTGTGAGTGAGTGGTTGAGTGAGTTAGTTGTTGAGTGAGTGAGTTAGTGGTTGAGTGAGTGAGTTGTTGAGTGAGTTAGTTGGTGGTTGAGTGAGTGAGTGGTTGAGTGAGTTAGTGGTTGAGTGAGTGAGTTAGTGGTTGAGTGAGTCAGTGGTTGAGTGAGTGAGTTAGTGGTTGAGTGAGGAAGTGAGTTGTTGAGTGAGTTAGTGGTTGAGTAAGTGGTTGAGTGAGTTAGTGGTTGAGTGAGGGAGTGAGTTGTTGAGTGAGTTAGTGGTTGAGTGAGTTAGTTGGTGGTTGAGTGAGCGAGTCAGTGGTTGAGTTAGTGAGTTGTTGAGTGAGTGAGTTAGTGGTTGAGTGAGTGAGTTAGTGGTTGAGTGAGTTAGTGGTTGAGTGAGTGAGTGGTTGAGTGAGTTAGTGGTTGAGTGAGTTAGTGGTTGAGTGAGTCAGTGGTTGAGTGAGTGAGTTAGTGGTTGAGTGAGTGAGTCAGTGGTTGAGTGAGTTAGTGGTTGAGTGAGTGAGTCAGTGGTTGAGTGAGTCAGTGGTTGAGTGAGTGAGTGAGTGGTTGAGTGAGTCAGTGGTTGAGTGAGTTAGTGGTTGAGTGAGTGAGTTAGTGGTTGAGTGAGTGAGTTAGTGGTTGAGTGAGTGAGTTAGTGGTTGAGTGAGTGAGTTGTTGAGTGAGTGAGTTGTTGAGTGAGTGAGTGGTTGAGTGAGTTGGTGGTTGAATGAGTGAGTTAGTGGTTGAGTGAGTGAGTCAGTGGTTGAGTGAGTGAGTTAGTGGTTGAGTGAGTTTTTGAGTGAGTTAGTGGTTGAGTGAGTGAGTCAGTGGTTGAGTGAGTTAGTCAGTGGTTGAGTGAGTGAGTTAGTGGTTGAGTGAGTTAGTGGTTGAGTGAGTTAGTGGTTGAGTGAGTTAGTGGTTGAGTGAGTTAGTGGTTGAGTGAGTTAGTGGTTGAGTGAGTGGTGGTGGTTGTGGTGACGTGGGCAAGATGGGTGTGATGGTGGTGGTGATTTCAAGAAAGTGAAAGTGATCGCCTCGGTTATCAAGAATGTGAAGGTTTATTCAGTGATTGAGTGATTAGCCGAGTGGTTGAGTGAGTTAGTGAGTTGTTGAGTGAGTGAGTTAGTGAGTTGTTGAGTGAGTTAGTGGTTGAGTGAGTTAGTGAGTGAGTTGTTGAGTGAGTGAGTGAGTGGTTGAGTTAGTTAGTGGTTGAGTGAGGGAGTGAGTTAGTGGTTGAGTGAGGGAGTGAGCTGTTGAGTGAGTTAGTTGGTGGTTGAGTGAGTTAGTGGTTGAGTGAGTTAGTGGTTGAGTAAGTGGTTGAGTGAGTGAGTTAGTGGTTGAGTGAGTTAGTTGTTGAGTGAGTGAGTTAGTGGTTGAGTGAGTGGTTGAGTGAGTGGTTGAGTGAGTTAGTGGTTGAGTGAGTGAGTTAGTGGTTGAGTGAGTTAGTGGTTGAGTGAGTCAGTGGTTGAGTGAGTGAGTTAGTGAGTTAATTTCCTAATCGATCGTGGTGTTGTGGTGATTATGGTGGAGTTGGTGGTGGTGGTGGTTGTGGTGACGTGGGCAAGATGGGTGTGATGGTGATGGTGGTGGTGGTGGTTTCAAGAAAGTGGAAGTGATCGCCTCGGTTTTCAAGAATGTGAAGGTTTCTTCAGTGATTGAGTGATTAGCCGAGTGGTTGAGTGAGTTAGTGGTTGAGTTGTTGAGTGAGTTAGTGGTTGAGTGAGTGAGTCAGTAGTTGAGTGAGTGAGTTAGTGGTTGAGTGAGTGAGTTAGTGGTTGAGTGAGTAAGTTAGTGGTTGAGTGAGTGAGTGGTGGAGTGAGTGAGTTAGTGGTTGAGTGAGTGAGTTCGTGGTTGAGTGAGTGAGTCATTGGTTGAGTGAGTGAGTTGTTGAGTGAGTGAGTTAGTGGTTGAGTGAGTGAGCCAGTGGTTGAGTGAGTTAGTTAGTGGTTGAGTGAGTTAGTGGTTGAGTTAGTGGTTGAGTGAGTGAGTTAGTGGTTGAGTGAGTGAGTTAGTGGTTGAGTGAGTAATTTAGTGGTTGAGTGAGTGAGTGGTTGAGTGAGTAATTTAGTGGTTGAGTGAGTAAGTGGTTGAGTGAGTGAGTTAGTGGTTGAGTGAGTTAGTGTTTGAGTGAGTGAGTTAGTGGTTGAGTGAGTGAGTTAGTGGTAGAGTGAGTTAGTGGTTGAGTGAGTCAGTTGTTGAGTGAGTGAGTTAGTGTTTGAGTGAGTGAGTTAGTGTTTGAGTGAGTGAGTTAGTGGTTGAGTGAGTGAGTTAGTGGTTGAGTGAGTGAGTTAGTGATTGAGTGAGTGAGTTAGTGGTTGAGTGAGTGAGT